TAATTGCTGTTTAAAGTAAGCAGAAACAAAATGGAATTAAAGTTAAAATGTAATGAATTACAAACTACATACTTATCATATAAGTTAAACAGCTCCTTTAAGTCCTTTCCATCCTCATGGAAAATGTTCATATTCTATATCGCAGGGCTAATACGGAAGGAATTATGCAGCTTTAGTCTTTGTATAATTGAAGCAATCTAGAATTATCGTTGTCTTCATTATGCAAGCTAATGGAATAAAGCCCCACACCCCCTCATTCACAGAAGAATGAATTAGGAAAAGAGAACTATTCTAACTTTTCTATTGCTCTACCACAGAATTACTGAGCGGCTTCAGACTATTAAATGGCTTAGGCTCAGAGTGTCCTAAGTATCCACTACTCAAACGCTGCACTACCAGCTGGAAGTCAGGAACGTATTAAGCTGAAACAAACACAAACCCTGAATCTTCCTTATGTACAAAGAGCCAAAAAACACTTCAGATTCCAGATTTCTAAATTACGGAAAAGCTGTATCCCCAGATCAAACACAGTAGCAGAAGTATTCATGTTATCCAGCAGGAGAGGAAGATGGCATGATTTTCGTTTTCTTCCTAACTGGCGCTGACCTTTCGGTTTAATGGCAGAACAGCATTGATGATTGCTTTCTGTGTACTCATGCAAGGTTCTGAAAACTTCAGACGGAGTTGAAAAGCAAGTGACATTTGCAAAGGAGCTATGTCAGCCTCTCTTCAAGCACGGAAGAGCAAAACACAGGCCGATCTCTCTCCATGTGGAGTACCACCCATCCGCAGGTATTACCAATGAGCTGCCTGCTAGTCCAAAACCACGACACAGGCAGCAAGAAGGGCGACACAACGGTACAGGCCGACAAATACACCACGCTGCCTGTATGTCTGACTGAACCCCTTACCCTACAGCATTTTATACACGCTTAGAATGAAAAGCTACAACACCACGAGCACGTTCACGCTCTGTCCAGGCTGAGAGGCTCTAATTCCACCAGTGTGTACCCATATTCCGTTTGTGACTGGAGGCTGCCAACAGCGGTGCCAGCACGCAGCCAGCACCTGCCTCCGCGCACCTCACCCGGCCGAGGGCGGCCAGCACCGCCGTCTGCGCCTGCAGAGGGGCAGCAGCCGAATGCACCGGCCGCGGTGTGCGCCAGCTCCCGAGGCACGGAGAGAACGAGAAAGGAGAAGGCAGGCGGGAGAGAGGGAAGGAGGGAGTACGCTGCCGGCCGGCTTGCGAGGAGGCCCGGCGGTGGCGCTGGCTGCCCTGGCTGCCGCAGGCTGACACAGACCTGCTCAGAGCCGGCAGCCACCTCGGGAATCCTCACCCGCCGCCCTTCCCTCCGTCCCCTCCCGCCGCCCCAGCCGGCGCTCGGCCACGGCCGCT